ATATGCTGACTCTCTGTAAACCGCTTAGAGAGGCCTGAAAGGCCTATGAAGCGGTATATAAGTCTACTGCTATTGCTATTGCTATTGCTAGTTGATTGCTCTCACTGTTAGGAAATTTCTCCTAATTTCTAGGTTGGTTCTCTCCTTGATTAGTTTCCATCCATTGTTTCTTGTCTCACCATCATGTGCTTTGGAAAATAGCTTGACCTCCTTGTCTTTGTAGGAGCCCCTCAAATATTGGAAGACTGCTATCCTGTCTCCCCTGGTCCTTCTCTTCACTAGACTAGCCATGCCCAGTTCCTGCAACTGTCAAGTTTTTAGCCCACGGGTGTCAAACTCAAGGCCCAGGGGCCAGATTCGGCCTGGAGGGTGCTTAGATCTGGCCTACAATGCTGCCCTGGAAACAGCGAAGGACTGGCCCACAAAGCCTCTGCCAGCGAATATGGAGCTCGGGGGTGGGGGGACTGTACACAGCCCTCCTGAGCTCCATTTTTAATAGCAGAGGGTTGCAGGAGGCCATCGCAGCCGAAAACGGAGCTCGGGAGCCTGTTTTTGCTGATAGAGCACTTGGGCCACCACAGGCACGCCTACATGAGTGATGACGAGCTGGCCATGCTCCCTGCCCCTCCCCAAGTCAAACACAACCCTGATGTGTCCCTCAATGACATTGAGTTTGACACCTCTGTTTTAGCCTCCAGTTGCCTCATCCTGGTTGCTCTTCTCTGCACTCTTTCCAGAGTCTCAACATCTTTTTTTTAATAATCTGGTGTCCAAAATTGGATGCTGTAGTCCAAGGGTGGCCTTACCAAGGCATTGTAAAGTGGTATGAACACTTCACGTGATCGTGATTCTACCCTTCTATTAATCGTAAGACAGGAGGGAAAAATCAATTGGCATGCGGCTGTGTGATAAGCATTGGTTGGTATAAGCTCCTGTTTAATAATATTGGGGGTTTTTTGCTGTTGGTTTTCTTAATGATTAATCTATGCTAATTGCTTATATGTCAGACTTCATTAAGAAGGATCTGTATTAATTGGATGCTTTTATCTAATGTTCCCAGCCAGTTTTAAACATTTTCACAATGTTTCGCACAGCAAGAAATTGCATTTTTTTAAAAAATGTCCCGGTTGAAAACCTCATTTACTCAGCTGCGTAAATACATTCACCATGGTCTGCAAGCTAGGATTGTTAGGATGGGTCAGATGTGGCTTGTTCAAGCAATGTAATGAGTAAATCCTGTCCTGAAGCAAAAGAGAAGTTGATTGCAGGTTAAAAGCTGAAGAGGGGTTCAATTCTTGATGAAATTGTTCTCCAGACGCATTGGGGCCATAGATGCAAGCATATGCAAGCTTTAAAAGCAGTGGTGCGATGCACAAAATGTTACCTCGATACATAAATTAGACTTGGGAAAGGGACGTTTTGGAATAGGTAAAGGTAAATGTTCCCTTCACACATTTGTGCTAGTCGTTCCCGGCTCTAGGGAGCGGTGCTCATCTTCATTTCAAAGCCGAAGAGCTGGAGCTGTCCGAAGACGTCTCCGTGGTCATGTGGCCGGCATGACTAAACGCCAAAGGCGCACAGAACGCTGTTCCCTTCCCACCAAAGGTGGTTCCTATTTTTCTACTTGCATTTTTACATCCCTTCGAATTGCTAGGTTGGCAGAAGCTGGGACAAGTAACGGGAGCTCACTCTGTTACACGGTGCTAGGGATTCGAATCACCGAACTGCCAACCTTTCT